GGGAAATAGACAGATAGATAGACAGTTTGATAGATATAGAGATAGATATGGAGATATATAAACAAACAGACATATAGATAGATAGATATACAGATACATAGGTAGATATATGGATCTAAGTACATAAATACATTGATGGATATTCAGATAGACAGACAACTTTGGATAGATAGATAGATAGATAGACACATACGTAAACAGATAGATAGATAGGTAGAGTAGACAGATTAGTAGGCATATATCTAAACATATGAATATATTGATGGATAGATAGATAGATAGATAAGTAAACAGACAGAGAGATCGATAGGTAAATTAGGCAGATTAGTAAGCATATATCTTATTCATATAAATATTTTGATAGATAGATAGATGGGTAAACAGATAGAGAGATAGATAGGTAGAGTAGACAGATTAGTAAGTATATATCTAATCATATAGATATATTGATAGATGGACAGATAGACAGCTATATAGATAGATTGATAAACAGATAGATCGATAGGTAGATTAGACAGTAAGTATATATCTAATCAAACAAATAGACATGGATAGATAGATAGGTAAACAGATAGACAGATAGATAGGTAGAGTAGATAGATTAGTAAGCGTATATCTATCCATATCAAGAGATTAATGGATAGATAGATAGACAGATAAATAGATCGATAGGTAGATTATAGAGATCAGTAAGCATATATCTAATCAAATAAATAGACTGATGGATAGATAGATAGGTCAACAGATAGAGAGATAGATAGATAAACAGATAGATCGATAGGCAGATTAGACAGATTATTAAGTATATATCTAATAAAAAAAATAGACCGAGGGATAGATAGATTGCTAAACAGATAGAAAGATAGATAGGTAGAGTAGATAGATTAGTAAGCGTATATCTATCCATATCAATAGATTAATGGATAGATAGATAAACAGATAAATAGATCGATAGGTAGATTATAGAGATCAGTAAGCATATATCTAATCAAATAAATAGACTGATGGATAGATAGATAGGTCAACAGATAGATCGATAGGCAGATTAGACAGATTATCAAGTATATATCTAATCAAATAAATATACCGATGGATAGATAGATAGATAGATAAACATATTGATCGATAGGTAGATTAGACAGAACAGTAAATATATATCTAATCAAATAAATATACCGATGGATAGATATATAGGCAAACAGATAGAGAGATAGGCAGATTAGACAGATTATCAAGTATATATCTAATCAAATAAATAGACTGATAGATAGATAGATAGATAGATAGATAGATAGGTAAACAGATAGAGAGATAGATAGGTAGATAGATAGATAGATAGATAGGAACAGACCAGCTGAGAAAAGCACATTTCTCACCAACCTGAGAAACTGGCAGATGTCACAGCCGATATATATAGGCCTACGTGCGAGGTCCGTCCACGTTCACCCCGTTAATGGAAACGTGATTGATTACGCCTTCCCCTCGTCCCTCCCCTCCCCTCCCCCCCCCTCACCCTCGCCCATTACGCTTCTCCCCTTACTGTCCTTAACCTCTATCCGGGCCTTTCACGTCAGCTTCTTCTTCCCCCCCCCCCCTTAACTCTTGCCAATATACCCATTTGCGATCTTTTACTTTCTCTGATTTCTTGAACCCCTTCATTGCCCACGTGCATTTCCCTTAATCAGCTCTTTTGCCCCTTCACTGCCCACGCCCATCTCCTTTAATCAGCCCTTTGCCCCTTCACTGCTCACGCCCACCCCCCTTAATCAACTCTTTTGCCCCATCACTGCCCACGCCCATCTCCTTCAATTAACACTTTGCCCCTTCACTGCTCACGCCCATCCCCCTTAATCAACTCTTTGCCCCTTCACTGCTCACGCCCACCTCCTTAATCAACTCTTTTGCCTTCAATTAACACTTTGCCCCTTCATGCTCTTGCCCATCCCTCTTAATCAGCCCTTTGCCCCTTCACCTCTCACGCCCATCCTCCTTTAATAATCTCTTTGCCCCTTCACTGCCCACGCCCATCTCCCTTAATCAACCCTTTGCCCCTTCACTGCTCACGCCCATTCCCCTCAGTCAGCCCTTTGCCCCTTCACTGCCCACGCCCATCCCATTCAATCAACTCTTTGCCCCTTCACTGCTCACGCCCATTCCCCTTAATCAACTCTTTGCCCCTTCACTGCTCACGCCCATTCCCCTTAATCAACTCTTTGGCCCTTCATTGCTCACGCCCATCTCCCTCAGTCAGCCCTTTGCCCCTTCACTGCTCACGCCCATCTCCCTCAGTCAGCCCTTTGCCCCTTCACTGCCCACGCGCCCACCCCTTAATCAACTCTTTGCCCCTTCACTGCTCACGCCCATCTCCCTCAGTCAGCCCTTTGCCCCTTCACTGCTCACGCCCATTCCCCTAGATCAACCCTTTGCCCCTTCACTGCCCACGCCCATCTCCCTAATCAACTCTTTGCCCCCTTCACTGCCCCACGCCCATCCCCCTTAATCAACTCTTTTGCCCCTTCACTGCTCACAACCCACCCCCTCAGTCAGCCCTTTGCCCCTTCACTGCTCACGCCCATCCCCCTTAATCAACCCTTTACCCCTTGGCACGCCAACTGTTGACCCCTTTCCTCCCTTGACCCCTTAACCCCTTTACACAATCCCGCTCTCCCTTAAACTTTCATGGCTTTACCCCTTTGCCTTACCCCTTTATCCTCGTCTCTGCCCTTAGCCCATTTACTTTACATCCTCCTACGTTTTATCTCTTAGTTTCTTTATTGCCCCTTACCCTTATTCCCTTAGTCTCTTCAGTACTCCTCCATTCTTATGCCAATGTCCCCTTAAGTTCCTTTAACCTTTAACCCTTTAATTACTTCTCACTTTATCCTTTGCTAGTAAACTATTCATTCTCAAATCCACTCTTTTCCTTCGCCCCTTAATCATTTTTCGCTCCCCACCTTCACCCCTTCGTTAATCACCCACCCCCTGAACATTACTCTCGCCCTCCCCTTAACCAATTAACCCTCCTCCCCCTCCTAAACCCTTTCACTCCTCAACCCCTTAGCTCCTCCCCTCCCTTAAAACCCCTTCGCTACTCGCCCTCCCCCTTAACCCATTCCCCCTCCTCCCCCTCCTCAAACCCTTAGCTCCTTCTCTCCCTTAAACCTCTTCGCTACTCGCCCTCCCCCTTAACCCATTCCCCTCCTCCCCCTCCTCAACCCCTTAGATTCCCCTCCCTTAAAACCCTTCGCTACACGCCCTCCCCTTCCTCAAACCCCTTTCACTACCCCGCCCATGACCCATTAACCCCCCCCCCCCCCTTGACGTGATCAGGTGTCACCTTTCTTTCAGGAGTTAACGAGATGCTTGAAGGAAAAGGGTTGTGGCTGAGGGTCATTGTGTCGCTGCCAAAAAAGAATAGGTGGGCGGTAATGATGAGGAGAGGGAGGTGAGGTGTTGGTGTGGGCGTGAGTGGGCGTGAGTGGGCTGGTAAGTGGTGTGTAAGGGGGGAGAAGGAGGGGTCGTAAGTGTCAGAAGAGAGAGAGAGGGGAGGTAGAGGAGAGGGAAGGGAGAGGGAGGGAGAGCGAGGGAGGGAGGGAGGGAGAGAGAGAAGAGAAGAGAAGAGGAGAAGTCAGAGAGAGATGAGAGAGTAGAGAGAGGACGAGGAGAGAGAGAGGAGAGAGAGAGAGAGGGAGAGAGGGAGGAGAGGAGAGAGAGAGAGAGAGAGAGAGAGAGGAGAGGAGAGAGAGAGAGAGAGAGAGAGAGAGAGAGAGAGGAGAGGAGGAGAGAGAGAAGAGAGAGAGAGAGAGAGAGAGCGAGAGAGGAAGAGAGCGAGCGAGAGAGAGAGAGAGGAGAGAGAGAGAGAGAGAGAGAGAGAGAGAGAGAGAGAAAGCTTAGGTATATAGATAAGATGCGTTAATTAAATTTCCATTTTGTTTTTGAGATTCATACCACGCATCACTACATTATTTTTTCGCTATCATCATCATCATCATTATCTTAATTCTCGTCCTCCTCATTTTCATGAAGGTCATTATTACTGTTGTTGTTATTAATATCCCTATTTCATTATTATCATTTTCATTGTTATATATTTACAATTTTTATTTATACCACAACTACTGTTATTATTATTAATATAATCATTATAATTACCATTATCATTTTTTATTATTATCATTATTATTACTATCATTTTATTATCATCATTAGTTTTATTTCTATAATAGTTTTTATTTATATCCTCAGCATCATTACTATCATTATCATTTTTATTATTTTCATTATTATTCATATTATCATCGTTACTACCTTTATCATACCTTTACCATTATTTATCATTATCATCATTATTATTGTTATCACTATTATCATCATCATCATATTACTATTATTATTATCTTTATTATCATTAACATCATTGTTAGTATCATCATTATCATCACCATTGTTAACACTATTGTTATTATTATTGTCATTATCATTGACATTACTATCATCATTGTCTTTTATTATTATCATTATCTTCATCAATATCTTAACTTTTATCCTCATTACTGTTATGATTATCATAATCCTGTTATCATTTGTTATTATCGTCCTCATTATCATGATCTTATTATTATTATTTACACACACACACATTACACACACACACACACATACACACACACACACACACACACACACACACACACACACACACACACACACACACACACACACACACACACACTACTATATATATATATATATATATATATATATATATATGTATATATGTATATGAATATGTATATGTATATGTGCATGTATATATGTATATATTAGCTATGCCCAAGTAATTTCTAAAAGAATAAAAGTAGACATACGGTATGACTCTACTTAGCTAGGGACCTTGTATTCCTTAGTGAAAAGCATAATGAGGTAACTCAAAAGGGGAGGAGAGTGCATGACTAGGCAGAATCCCTTGACTCTACGACTTTCATGAGTTGTGTGTGGAAGGAAATCAATAAGATTAAAGGCGCAGTTTTCTGTTAAATTGGAAAACAAATATGAAACTGGCTATCAATGGCAACTTTTAGATAAGGATAATGGATCATTCGCAAGTCTTGAGCTTCTTGCAGTCATTAAGACTAGCAAAACCCATGTAACTAGCAATGATGGTATCATGACAACATCCGACTTCTTACAAAGGTACTGATAGAGGGATGAAGTGCTCTTCTTGGTTTCTTCAACTTAAATTTATTATGCATTCGTCTTGCTTTCTGCTTGGAAACAAGCTATTGCCACCAACCCAAAAGTAGGATACCTTGATAAATATAGACCAAATGTTATGAAGGCCTGTCTCTCTAAAACCTGTGGAAGGATTCTTCTCTCTCATCTACACAAGATCACACTCATTCATCAGGCATTGTTTCCGAAAAGGAAGAGGAACAAAAATCTGTTTAGCACATCACATAAATGGAGATAATTCACTGTCCTTTTACATAACATGTTCCAAGGGAACTATCAACTGAGCCTCTCCAACTACAATCCTTCACGAATAAAATTCTGTAAAAGTTAAGGAACAGTTTTTGCTATGGCAAAAGTATGGTACCAAGACACTTACATGCTTTTGGTAAACTTGGGGTAGACGTTTTGCAAGGTGGAGTATTACTCCCTTCACTATTGAACATACTTGTACACTCTCTTTGCAGGCTCAACAGTGAGTTAGGAGACCTTTGAAGCATCACATCCTGTGCTGATAACATTCTCATTCAGGTCTTTGATAGGGAGATTTTAGTTTTATTTATTTATTATCATTATTTCTTTGAGGTTCAGCAAAATGTGTCCTTTCCCCCCAGGGCTGGTCGGCCTGACACCGCACAGCACTTGTCCCCATATAATATTTTATGTTCATTTTACCTGTGTGTACTCTTCATCAATAAGGCTGTATCCACACCAGTGACAAAACACGATGTGAACATTAAGACTGACAAGTTGGGTAACAAGTTGTAGAGTTGTAGAGGAACATCGTAGTACACATGTTGGTACGAATTTGTTGGGCGACAACAGATCAACCTTATTGCCGACATGTCTCCCGACATTGTAACAGACATGTCCCCATACATATTAAGAGATTTGTATGTCTCCTATTGTGTCCCCCACAATGTTTCCAATTTGTCTCCAAGCAACATGTCACTGGTTTGGACAAAACTTAAAGATTCAAGCTGTTTAATTATCACTGTTCAACCAGTCACTACACAGGAGACACCCACAGCTCTCTCTCTCTCTCTCTCTCTCTCTCTCTCTCTCTCTCTCTCTCTCTCTCTCTCTCTCTCTCTCTCTCACACACACACACACACACACACACACACACACACACACACACACACACACACACACACACACACATACACACACAGACACCTATCCACCAATTTTGTATCTGTTTGTCAGTCTCTCTCATTCTCTCCCTCAATCTCAATCTCTCACTCACCTGTCCACTAATTATGTGTCTGTTAATCTCTCTCTCGTTCTTTCACTCCCCTTGTCCATTAATTTTATGTCTGTTTGCGCGCTCTCTCTCTCTCTCTCTCTCTCTCTCTCTCTCTCTCTCTCTCTCTCTCTCTCTCTCTCTCTCTCTCTCTCTCTCTCTCTCGCTCTCTCTCTCTCTCTCTCTCTCTCTCTCTCTCTAGACAGAATTCTAAACAGGTACATGAACAGACATCAGTAACTAAACCGACCTTTGACAAACTAGCGGAAAGTAGTGCGTCTTTGAATGCGACGACCTAAAGATATAAGTGTCCTTCTTCCCTCGAATCGGAACTCTCGACCCCGCCAGCCACCAGCCAACCCCTTTCGCCACGACTCATCCACGCAAATCGATCTCATAACGTACGCTTCGGTGCTTGCGTCATAACAGCTGATTGTCCGTGTGTGTCTCCGTCGATCTGGCAGGGAGAGCGGGTGGCCGGTGAGAGTGGGGTGGGGGTGGGGGTAGGATGGGGGGAGAGGGGGAAGGGTTCTCTCGTTCTCCTTCCTTTACATGGATGTTGGGTTTGTGTTGTTTGTTATGTGGTTTTTCTTTGTTCGCTCAGTGTTCTTCTCGGTCTCTTTCTGTCTCTGCCTCTCTCTCTCTCTCTCTCTCTCTCTCTCTCTCTCTCTCTCTCTCTCTATATATATATATATATATATATATATATATATATATATATATATATATATATATATATATATATATATATATATTATATATATATATATATGTATATATATATATATATTATATATATATATTATATATATATTATAATATATATATATATATATATATATGTACATATAAGTGTGTGTGCGCCCGTGTGTGTGTGCGCACGTGTGTATGCGGATATTTGTATGTGTATGGACACACACACACACACACACACCTCCCTCTCTCTGCTCTCTTCCCTCTCTCTCCCCCTCTCCCTTCCTCCTCTCTTCGCCTCTCTCTCCCCCTCTCCCTTCCTCCTCTCTTCG